GAAGGATCTTATAGCTTTCCATGGGAAAACATAAAGGAGGAATCCTGTGGATTACCTCCAAGGGATGTGGATCTCACTGCACTTATTGAAAAAGAGATGGATTTGCATGCCGTTGAGACCTATTTAAATCGTTTTTGTTTTGCATCACTTAAAGTCAAAGTGTTTGAACCAAATGGAAATCTTGTACGTGAAGTCCCTAAAACAACTTGTTGGTCACCAAACCTTTTTCTTTCCGATTCGATTCCTTTAGTAGAGTCAGCTATTGGTGGTTATTCTCTTGCTCTTGATGTTGGTTCTGGAACTGGAAGGGATATGGTATTTTTAGCATCTCGAGGTTGGAACGTCATTGGAATTGAAAATCGACGTCGTTTGATTGACCAAGGAGTTGCTCTTAGTCGAAAACATGGTGTTTCAGAACGTGTTCATTACCTTCATTGCGATTTAAAGGATCTCTATCCTGTTAAGAATGAAAGCGTTGATCTCCTGCACGTTTGTCGTTTTTTACATCGACCATCGTTGCAAAACCTCTTGAAGCTACCCCGTAAAGAAGGGAAGGGTTATCTTATTTACTCCCATTTTCTAGACGGATGTCAGAGGACGAAGGTGGGACACCCATCGACGGTTGCTGGTTTTTTTCTCCGGGGCGAGTTACGCCAACTACTAGAGAGTACCGGGTACACAATTTTAACGGAACGCGAAAACGCCTTGCCAGACGGAAGGCCGATGGTAAACATATTCGCGCGAAGAATGGAATGATCATGCTTTTTTTTCCCATTCCGTGGGATGTTCTTTTTTTTTTTATTATTATCCTTTAAACGTTTATTTTTTTTTTGGCGCCGTGAGGTCTCGAACGATTTTTAATTTTTCCCGTTTGCACTTACCCCTTTCTTGAGGGGCGAAAACGATAGCGATAAAGAAATGGTGTTTTTTTTTTTTTCTTGTCTTTTTTTTTTTCTTCCTCAAGCGATGTGTTTTTATCGGCCTCCATGGGGTTCCGGAAAACCACAAGCCACTTGCGGGCCATTGGGGGCGGTTGGAAAAAAAGAAGCGCCGCGGTCGACCCTAACCGCCAAACCTGGTGGGAATGTTGGGTGGAAAAAAAAATGGGGGTGTTGTTTAAAGAAAATCTTTTTCCCTTGCTATTTCGAAAAACATCCGTGACAGGACTCGAACCTGCAACCCTCTGATCCGTAGTCAGATGCTCTTCCATTGAGCCACACGGACGATGACCGTAATGCGATTATCGAAACCAAAAAAGGATCAAATCAACGGCATTTTAACCCATTGGATTTTGGAAGTTGAAAGAACAAAAAACAAATTCCATCACTGCACGATACAAGGCGAGGAAAACAAGAAACTTTCCAGCATTAGTCTGCCCCTCATGAGGTAGTCAATGTGTATGAGTAAATCAGGCCTAACTCTACACTGAATGTCACGTCACGGGTATCAACCTATTCGCGCGCACACCAGTCAACGCGACGAATGCGACGAAACAGCTCTGCATCTCTTGAGTTGCCCCGCTCTTCATCCACTGCGAGTTCAATTTACGATAGTTGATGATATACCCCTGAAGAAACTATGTTTTTCTAAGCGGTTAGCACAGTTCCTAATTGCGGTGGAGCGGAACTACGCTATGCCACAGACTTCACGCCAAGAGAAACCTTACGTAGCCTACCTTCCCCACCTCTCTAAAATCAGCGACGAGCTTGCTTATGGAAACCCTGATAGAAGAGTAAGCTCAAGACATCTGTCACCTAACAAACAAGCGACAAAATAAATAGGAGTTCATTGAGGCCAATCTATAACAAAAAAATAACCAAAAATAATAACAAAAAGGAGACTTGAGGACGGGTTCTGAGTGAGAAAAGTGAGAGTAGAGAGATCTGATAGGGTTTACTCGATCAGATTTCTCGTAGGCTGGTTCTCTCGTATGAGAACGGGCTACGGCCAAAAATCATATTACAAGAGCTTGAGGATCCTATAAAATAAAGGGATCTTCTTCCTCTTTGGAGCCACTCGTAAGCCAGTAACTAGGTGCTCTACGGTGTACGGTTGATAGCCGTACCATTGGAGTAATATCCATAAAAAACACGAAGAACAGAAAGAAAAACGTGGTGGTGTGGTGTGGGGTGTCTCTTTTGGGGGTTGGAAAGGGATATGTTTGATCGTACTCTCCTAATGCACATCAGGGAGTAAAGGACCTTTGTGTTCGGTGTGTTTTTTTTTTTTTTTGGTGATAATGCTGTGGGAGAAGAGGAGGCAAATCGGCATTCTGAGGAAAAAATAAAATAAAATAATAGTAATAAGGATAAATAAAGAGGTAATATGTGTCTGTGTGAGAGAGTAATTGTGTGTTGCCTCTGTTTGTAAAGAGAGTGTAATGGTATTACAGTGATGTATGCAATCATTTTTGTTATGGTTGTGGGTGAGTGGGTTTTAGATTCCAATTGTGGTGTTGGTATAAATATATTATGGTGATGCATTGGTTTCTTTTCTTTTTCTGTTTGGAAGTGTGTTGATTATTGTTGAGTCTCTTTGTTTTGCTGATGATTTGTGGTATTGTTTTTGTATGTTGCCAGGCGTACACTGTGTTTTTGGTGTATTTTGGTGTTCAAACTGCCTGGTAATGGTTTTATTATAATGAGAATACAGACACACTTTGTGTGTATGAATACCGAGTAGGATATTGGAGTGTGTGTAGAGACGTTTATTCAATATTGTTTTGATACCATTTGTTTTCCACTTCTTCTAAATTCAAGGTGTTGTTTCAATATCTGTGTGACTCTGGGTGTGTTTTATTGTGTGTGAGTGGTTTATTGTTGTACCCCTCATTGGGTTGTGTTTGATTGCTGTTGTGATGTGTATTCTCTTTCTTTCTTTCTGTGTTGCTGTGTACTCACTGCCGTGTGTGTTAAATGTGCGGCTGCTTTTCATCTCCTTTTCCTCTTATTTCTTGTTACCACAGATCCAAGGAACTCACAGTGACAATCACGTCAACGATGTTCATCCAACTGCGCCGTGTGGTGTACCTGTTGGTGCTTCTGCAGTGCTGTACGTGCGTGGTGCGCGCAGATTTTAACGAGAAAGATCCCGCTACATGTCTAAACGATACTGACTTCAGGGTCGCGGAAAGACAGTTCAATGGTACTTTGCACGAGTCGGATAGAATATTTTTGGAAGGCGAGGCATGTTTGAAGTTGTGGAAGGACAAGGTGGATGATTGTAACGCGTACGTTAGGGATTACCGCGCCGCAGCGCATAAGGTCACCGAAGTTGTTAGTGAGATTGCGGCAAAAAATCCTTCGAAAGACCAATGCGGGACTGTTGTTGCGGATTTGGTGCAGCAAGCGAAGGTGAGGGTGGATGAGTTCAAGAGAGTCGCAGCACGATCGTCGGATAAAGTGGAATTGGCGCGTAACACAAAAACAATTTGTATATCTTCGGCCGTTGGCAATCTGCTGGCGGTTGTCCCCAAGATCGAAGAAGCAATGGTCCACTATAAGAGTTATCTTGACGACGTTAAGTACAAGGTGTGTAAGACGGATTGGAGAACGAAACGCGTTCAGGAAGTGGAGGCAAACCACACAAAGATGAAAGAGGTCCACAAACAATTGGTCGAGGTTATGCCGGAGAAACACCAGCTTTGCAGGGTGGACGGCGGATCGGTGGCGCCAGTGGACGAAGTGAAGGCGGCACTTAAAACATTCCAAACGGTGTGTGGGAAAGGGCTCGAAGGCGTGGAAGTAAATCCCGTCAAGGAGGCAAGTGGAATCTGGAATTACACTAAGGGGGATTCTCATAAAGTTGCCGTCATTCGCGTGGTAGATGGCAAGGTTGTGGAGGGCGCAGATAAAGAGAGGCCACTCACTGAAACAGAAAATGAGACGTTTATGGTGAGGGTGATGGGTAATGGGAAGGTACCAGAAATGAAGGAAGCGAACGTCCGGAAAATCAAGGAGGACTTCGTGACGGCGAAGAAAGCAGTTGTCGTTGAAAGGGAACAGGCTGAGCAGAGAAGGTTGGAAGAAGAACGGGAGAAGGAGGCGCGGAGAAAACAGGAAGAAGAACAACGCAGGCTGTTGGCAGCGGAACAAGCGCGAAAAGCCAAGGAGGAACAGGACAAAAAGAAAAGTGAAGAACAGGCCAAGAGGGAAAGAGACGAAAATGGGAAAAAGGATGCGGAAGTGAAGGCCAAGGAAGAAGAGGCGAAAAGAGTTGCCGAAGAGGCGAGGAAGGCCAAAGAAGAAGCGAAACGAGTTGCTGCAGAAGAGGCCAAGAAAAAGAAAGACGGCAGCGTCAGTCCTGCATTGGTGCACAGTTCCCTGATTCTTCTTGTGCTTTCTGTATTGGGTTGCACTCTCGTGTGCTGATCGGTGTTCCCATGACACAGTTGCACAGTTAACCCTTTTTTGACTGGAGATGGATGCATTGTGGGGTCACTGTTCTTTTCATTGAATTTCAATGTTTCTTTTTTTTTTTTCTCCTTCCAGCACGATAAATCTCTTGTTTTCATTATTTGCTGAACATATCTATTGGACTCCCTACGGCACTCATCACATGACAAACCATTAATTTGTGAGGGGAGTGTCCTCTTTCTTCCTTTCTTGGCATTATCTGGGCTCTGTTTTGCCGCCATTTACTGTGTCCTTATGGTGATGTGTGTGTGTTCCGTGATATTAATAACTATTGCTTTTACCCATGGGAATGGGATACAAACCCGATGTGTTTAAATTGCTTTGATTGCAATCTGAAGATTGGCAGGGGGTTCAGGACACACACGAACACGCACAATATCAACCGTCCTTTTCTTTGTGTGTGCGGGTGTGTATACTGTCATCATGTGTGCATCATTCCCGCTGGTTGCCCTGTACGAAAGACACACACACACATACTGCTGGGAATTGTGTTCTTGCCTCCTGAACATATTCACATGGTGATCACGGCTTTCTTTTTGTTTTGTTTTCATTTTATTGTCTTTCCCTTGTGTGTGTGTGTGTGTGTTTCATTATAATTTCATTGCACATTATGTGCAGCTGTGTGTTCTCTCTCTTGCATTTCCGATACACCTTGTGTATCTTGTGTGTTCATTTTTATGGAGTAATTCTTTTTTTCATTATATACAAACTGCTGCAGGGACATCAAGAATAAAGATATGGACACTGCACGTTCAGTACACAATGATTTTCCGTTGTTAACCTTGGGGTGGATTGGACTGTGTCCGGGCATCGCAGCCACAGTCAGTAATAAATTTCTTTTTTTTTACATCTTTGCTCCATTATTGTGTCTGCCTCATGCAGTCACTCTTTTTTTACATTTTTATTTTGGTATAAAGATTGGTGGGTTGTAGGTGTTTGAGTGTGCCCCTCTGTTGTGTGTTCCGTTGTGTGTTTGGGTTGCTACTCACACCGCCCACGTAATGAAAACACATTTCTTTGTTCTCACCTTCTCTCTCGGTGTTGTCACTCACGGTATTGCCACGGAGATATTTCCTCCCTTGTGGTGTGTGTTGTTTGTTTTGTGGTTTGCTTGAGTGACTGCAGCCTGCGGGGAGATGGACTGAGACTGGTCCGCTTCGGCTTCACGTAATGGGTCTGTTTTTTTTTTTTTCTTTTTGTGGTTGAGTTGATGTGCTGGTGTGTGTGAATGTTTTTCTCTGATGAGAGTGGCACCTGTGATTATTGTATTGTGAGTGCTTTGTGTGCTGTTGGTATCCTGTTGTTGTTTTTCTTTTCCTCTCTGTAGGTGTGTGGCTTAGTGTGCATGTTAGTGAATGCCGTAGTGCCTCTCTGACATGAGCATGTGAGAGTGTCATTGTGTGTGCGTGCACTGTGGGTGGGAAGGACACCGTTGTGTTGCTGGACCACTCCACTGCGGCGTCTGTGGGGTGCAATGAATGACGGCGTGGTGATATCCACCGAGATGTGTGTGAGCGACTGGAGTGGCAGTGTGGTTCCTTTACGCCAGTCCATTTTCCTGTGGTGCGATTGGGTACACACATGAATGGATCAATGGGATTCCCTCTGTTCCGAGTTACTATCTAGCGAAACGACAGTCAAGGGAACAGACTTGAAGGGCTAGGCGGGGAAAGAAAAGACCCTGTTGAGTTTGACTCCAGACTGGTTCTGGACTGGCTGGTCGGTGGCATGTACTTGGCACTGTCATCACTTTATAATTTGGTTCACATAATTTATACATGTGTACTGGTGTGAGATTGTGAAGTGGGATCTCGCAGGTATCGTGAGGAAAGTGTACGGGGTGGTGCGAGAGGAACTCCCATGCCGTGCCTCTGGTTTCTGGAGTTTGTCGAACGGCAAGTGCTCCGACGCTATCGCACGGTGGTTCTCGGCTGAACGCCTCTAAGCCAGAAGCCAATCCCAAGACCAGATGCCCATTTTATATCACTATATATAACCAAAACCATGTGTGTACGTTAGCAGCTAACGTGTGTGTGGTATGCACGTGCGTGACTGTCTTAGGGAAAAGTAGACCTCCGTGGTCGCGGCTTTTCAGGACAAGACGGGCTACACCAAATCTAGGATGTGTTTGGCTTCTGCGTTTTTCGTTACAGTCTTCGCGGTTCTCTCCTATCCGGGAGCTTGAGGAAGTTTTCCTACTGTTTTTCAAAAAATAAACACCCCATCGAATCGCCATCCAAATCATCTGGTGGGCTCTGCCCGCCCTTGAGGCGCCAAGTATCTTCATGATCACAAGACACTTTTTTTGAAAACAAAGAAAACGTGTGCCTGGCAGTGTTGCGTTTTATGCGCAGCTCTCTCAGTGTTCAACTCTTGCATTCGGGGG